GTGTCCAGATGCAGCGGGGTCCTCAACGCTGCCCCTGGAACGCGGTGACCCGGTACAGGTGTCACCCGGTGCAGGTGTCACCCTAGTGCAGGTGTCACCTTAGTGCAGGTGTCACCCGGTACAGGTGTCACCTTAGTGCAGGTGTCACCCCGGTGCAGGTGTCACCTTAGTGCAGGTGTCACCCCGGTGCAGGTGTCACCTTAGTGCAGGTGTCACCCGGTGCAGGTGTCACCCCGCTACAGCTGTCACCCGGTACAGGTGTCACTCGGTACAGGTGTCACCCCGGTACAGCTGTCACCCGGTACAGGTGTCACTCGGTACAGGTGTCACGCCGGTACAGCTGTCACCCGGTGCAGGTGTCACCCCAGTGCAGGTGTCACCCGGTGCAGGTATCACCCCAGTACAGGTGCCACCCGGTATAGCTGTCACCCCGGTGCAGGTGTCACTCCGGTGCAGGTGTCACCCCGGTACAGCTGCCACCCCATCCCACTTCCCTGCATCCCGGGTTCCTGCCGGGCTGTCCCGCTGCCGGCTCGGGATGCCCGGGCAGGACATTTGTCCCAGCCCAGGGACATGCCCGGGGAAGCAGGAGCTCCTGTCCCCGCCCAGGGACACGGTTCCCAGGGAAGCAGGAGCTCCTGTCCCAGCCCAGGGACATGCCCGGGGAAGCAGGAGCTCCTGTCCCAGCCCAGGGACATGCCCGGGGAAGCAGGAGCTCCTGTCCCAGCCCAGGGACATGCCCGGGGAAGCAGGAGCTCCTGTTCCCCGTGCCGGCCGGTGGCAGGAGGAGGGGACACGGCAGGGATTGCTGCCCCTCCTCGGGGAGCTCATTTCTCTCCACACGGCAGGAATGGTGTCTCCAGGGGCTGGGGATTCATCTGCTCCACTGGTGGCACTTTCCTGTCCCCCGAGCGCCCCGGAGCCTGGGGGTGACATTGGGCTGGGAACCATCCCGGGACGTGGGGAGGGCCCGGCTCTCCCTGGGGCCAAGGGGGGAGATTTCCCCCCCGGGTTGCACAAGCCCAGGGGCAGCAGGAGGTCCCTGCCCGCACAGGGCCCCAGGCTGGGTGGTTTTTAACCTCGCTTTGGAACACCCAGCTCCAGGCCCAGGCCGTTTCCAGCAGCCCGGCTGGGCAGAGCGGTGCCTGGTCACTAGGTGCAGCCCTTCGCTCGGGAATGAGCTGCTGGCAGGAAAATCCACGTCCCTCCTTCCATCTCCCAGCCGCGGGAAGGAAGGGGGCGGTAAATTTCCACCGCCAGGCCGGCAGGTCCTGGAGAGAAAACACCTCCAGCGTTTCTCTTCCTCTGGCCGCCGCTTGCAGTCCTGGGCTTTTCCCGGTTTTCTTCGAGGAGGATTTTTGAAAGAAAAAAAAAACAAACCACCACTCTTGTCGCCACAGAGAGAAAGAACGAACGAGGGAGTTGCTGGGAGTGTTCAGGGCTGCACTGGAGCTGCTCAAAGGACTGGGCAGGCCCTGGGCTTTTCTGTACCTCTGAAAAAGCCCCCACGGGCTCAGCCCGGCCTGGCCTGGCTGGGAAGGCAGCAGCCAGGGTTTCTGCAGCATTTGGAGGCTTTTGGCGTTTAAGGCAAGAATGTTTTGGCTGTTTCTTTCGCAGGGAAGGTTTCCAAGCCGCACGTGAGGCTGGGGAGGCCTAAACCCACCAGCGACTGAAAGCTGCTCCAAGAGACTCTGGCCCTGGCCCCACCGTCGAGGGGGGAGCTCCATGTGCCCCCCGGGCCTGGCACTGCCCGGGGGGGGGAATTCTCAAGGACAGGACAGTTTGGACAGAGCAAAAGTCCTGCTCCTCCTCCAAACGAAGGAACCAAGACCCAGGTTTTGGGTGCTGGCTCTGGACATAGGAGACCAGCTCCTGTAAGGGGGGTCTGAAGGGCACCTGCTCATCCCTGGCACAGACCTTCCCTCACTTTTGGGTCCATATGCTGCTTTTTGAGCTTCTGTGGAGTTTCTCACCACAAGTTTTTTCCTTCCCCAGCCCGTTGCAAGGAACATGAATAAAAGGGGCTATTCCACCAGCACCATCCATCTCCAGACTCTCCAGCTTTGCAGACCAGTCGATCCTGCCAGCTCAGCACAGAGTAGAAACGTGCAGGGCTGGAGAGGAATAAAATGTGTTTCAGAAACACTTCATTATAACCTCGTGCTGCCCTTGTGCCAGGAGCCAGCCTGCCTGCCTGTCAGGCACCGAGGAGTTGCTGTGCAGTAGCTAATGAAACAGTTTAAAAAGAAAACTCACACGCCCCACCCCCAAGAGGCTTGTTATTTTCAGAGCAAAGTGGGTAAACCACAGCGTCTGCCCTTTTCCGCTCGTTCCTGAAAAGGCAGCTCCCCAGGGGCAGGGCTGGGAGCCTCTCCAGGGCCTGCTGGGCACAGTGGGTCAGTGGTTCTGCCCCCCAACACACTCAGATGGATTCCTCAGAGCCCACCCCACCAGCCTCACACCCCAGAGGAGCCCCTCACGTCGGACCCCCAAGGTGGGGACAGCAGAGGGGAGGGGTGGGTGCCCCAAGATGCCCATCCTGCCTCAGGATGGTGTTGATTTGCCTGTCAAGGTGAAGTGGGGAGGAATGGGGACAGGGGGTCCCCAAAGCATCCTTGCCTGTGGCAGGGCTTTCCCTGAATCCTGGGCTCACTGGCTGCTCGCTCCTGGTGCTCTTCTCACCCTCTCCCACAACAGGCACCCGAGGGGACCTGCTCCTGAACCAAACATCCTGCTGGTGGAAGCAGAAATTCTCCTGGATGGAGACAGGAACTCACCAAAGATGAGTCTCCCACAGCTCTCACTTTCTAGAAGAGGGGACACTTAGGTGAGACATTAGGAAGAAATTCTTTAGTGTGAGGGTGGTGAGACCCTGGCCCAGGTTGCCCAGGGAAGCTGTGGCTGCCCCATCCCTGGCAGTATTGAAGGGCAGGTTGGATGGGGCTTGGAGCAACCTGGGCTGGTGGGAGGGGTCCTTGTCCATGCAGGGGGCTTGGAACTGGATGATCTTTAAGGTCCTTCCAACCCAAACCATTCTAGGATTCTTTGAAATCATCAGATGCAAATTCAGCACCATCAGGAGCAGGGAGGCAACGAGCCAGGCTGGAACTTGGGCACCTGCAGCCGTGAGGGGCATGGCTGCAGTGAGCATGAAGGGAACAAGCATTTCCCTCCCCACCCCAATTTCTTTCCTTTTATCCCTTGAAAGAAATGGCAGCAAAAAGCAAAAGAGACCCAAGTGTTAAGAGTACAACAGGACTTTATTATATGAATGACTATTAAACATCTTTAAGAAAAAAAATCACTTATGGAAATAAACTCTAAAATAGCAACACTCACAAAGTCACAGATTGTTTTGTTTTCTTCTTTTTAAATCATTTTGTAGAGAAGTGATACAAATGTCACTGAGAATTGTACATTTTTACGTAAGGAATGCAGTTTGGCTTTCAGGCCGGTCTTAGGGGCCTTCCTACTCATTAGTTTCTTAAAGGACAAAAATAATCACTCCTCATCCTCCTTTAAAATGATGCTTTGTGCCTCCAAGTTGTTTTTCAATGGCTACAGAGTGACATCATTCAGAGAGGCGTTTGCCTGGCCCGGGATGTTTAAGGGCAAGTTGTTAAGACCGTGTTAGCAAAGCCACCCCCAAGCCCCCCACCCGCTGCCCACCCTGTGCTCACCAGTGTGGAGCCCCCTTTGGCACAGAACCCTGCCTGGTTGGTCCGTGGTGCCAAACCCACCCAACACAGAGCCCTTTTGCTGGCACTGTAGGCAGAGAAAGCCAGGCCAGGGGGTTGGCACCTGCTGTGAGTGGAGGTGGCAGGGTGACGGCTGCCCTTCCTTTCCTCCCTTCCTCTCCCTGCCCCTCCTCAGCTCCCAGGTGGCATTGCAAGGAGCAGGACACCTCAGGGACAGGCACACCCAGCCCAGCCTAAAAGAAAACCCAAGGCAGCTGCAGCCCCAGGCTGGG